AAGCTACCTTAGCCGATATTAGAGAAAAGTTTTGGATCATAAAAGGACGCCAATTCGTCAAGTCCACGTTAAGTAAGTGCTTTTTGTGTAAACGTACAAGGTGCGTGCCGGTACACAGGAAACCGCTCCTTTACCACCTGATCGTGTTCTTCAATCATCTCCATTTTCTGTAACAGGGCTGGATTATGTTGGCCCCTTCTTTACAAAGGACAGCAAGAATAAACATTATCTGCTTTTGTTTACATGTGCTACAACTCGAGCTTTACATCTACCTTCTATTCTATCTTTACATCTACCTTCTTGTCCCTTCTATGAGCGTAGAGAATTTTATGCTTGCGTTTCGCAGCTTTATTTCTCGTCGTCGATTGTGCTCAACAATATATTCGGGCAATGCCAAGACATTCAAATGGGCTGATCTCGAGTTGCGAAAAATTTGGAAGTGTATTCAACATTCATCTGAACAAAATTTGTTTTCCTCCCACGGTATAACATGGAAGTCTATTGTGGAAAAAGGAGCATGGTGGGGAGGGTTCTGGGAGAAGGCATTTTAGAACGATCAAAACTTGTTTAAGGAAAAATAGTTGGACGTTCTAGTCTCTGTTTGAATGAGCTAGAAACAGTCTTCGTAGAAATCGAAGCCATAATTAATTCAAGGCCCATAACGTATGTCTACAATGACCCTTCAGAACCCTCATAACCGCTAACTCCTGCTCATTTCTTTAATTGGTAAACGTTTACTTTCTCTTCCAGTTACAAGAGTGTGCAGAGAAGACTTGATTGGGTCTAGACATTCCTTGATCAAAAGGTATAAACATCAACAAACCTTGTTAAACCACTTTTGGAATAGGTGGAGGAAGGATTACTTGCTTTCTTTAAGATCTGTGAATTTATGTCCACCTACTAAAGTGTCTAGTCAGTTTAATGTTAATGACGTAGTCCTTGTACATGACGACCGTTTACCTAGGAATTTGTGGACACTAGGTAAGATAATAGAAACTTATCCTGGCAGAGATGGTCAGGTTCGCTCTTGTCTCATAAAAACTCAAACAGGTAATCTAAAGAGACCAGTACAATTGCTGTACAACCTTGAAGTGCATAATTAGTAGTAAAGAGTTATTGTGTAATAATCTGATTTGTTGTTTGCATATATGTCATTTTCTGAATATCTTTATTGATTGTTGCTAAATGTAGTTTAGTTTATATGATTATTGCGAATTTTGATATGATATAATGTTTCTTATTTAGTAATTACTTTATAAGTTGATTTAATGTGTTTAAACATTACTTGTTATTTGCAATTTGATGTAGTTTATATAGTATTCAAATGTTGTGTTTGATTTAGAAATACTGGTTTATTTTGTATTCGGTTTGTGTGAACTTAAAGAGTTCACAGGTGGGGAGTGTTGTAAAGAGAGAAGTAGAGTGCGCTGCTTGGCAGTAGCGCAATGCATGTAAGTAGAAACGAAATATCGTTTTCATTAGGCAACATGATTTCTGTTAAGGTAGTCCGCCTAACAATAGGACAGTTGTAAATATGTAAATATAACGGATAATAAATAGCATTAGAAAAACTGAACCACCGGATGTTTTGTGTTGGCTCTTCGGGCCGCCGGACTAGTTTCGATGGTTTTACCGAACCACCATCCTCAGCTGCAAAACCGCTTCCTATCTTGTTCTATTTCCTATCTTGTTCATTTGTAGTTTTGCAGCTGAGGATGGTGGTTCGGTAAAACCATCGAAACTAGTCCTGTGAAAATTTTGAAAATATAACTCTGATTTTTGTTGTTTGACTTCTGAATTAGTATTTGTTCGGCGTGTTATTGTGTCTTAATTATAGCGGATGCTTTCGGGTTTACTGTTTCGCACCTCTAATCTCCTTAATATTTATTCAACGATAGGGAATTTGCCGCCCCTACCAAAGTGCCGCCTGGGGCAGATGCCCCCTTTTCCCCTTCTCGCTACGCCACTGTCGGTTTATTACACTTATCAAAGTTTCGATTTGAATATTATTAATAGAAAAATCCGTTTTAATTTTGTCCCTATGAAAGCACGTGCATCACTTACGTTATATAACATGCATCACTTGCGTTATGATATTGATAAATTTTAAAACGACACACTTCAGAAAAATTTAAGGCATTTTACTATTTTCAGAACAAAATACGAAATTTAAAAAGAAACTTGAAAAGTATGTTATAAATTAGAATTTTCTTTTTATACCCACATGTATACAATGTGTGTGTTAATGCCCTTAAACGGCTTTTATTTGCAAGCGTTAGACATATACGTCCAATTAAAAAAAGTGTTTAAATGACGGTAATAATCATGTTTTGGTATCTTTAAATTTAAAAATCAGTTTAAAATTTAACTTTCCGTGTAGTGCTCTAGTCTCGATATTTAGGAAAATGTTATATTCTTATACACTAAGAAAAAAAATGTGCAAAAAGGTGATTCCCTTACGACAAATATTGACTAAGTTATGCTATATTAAATTTCGAGATCACTCAAAGGTCGAACACAAATTTAAAAAGGAAATATTTGTATTTGAACGCACTAAAGATACAATATCAGTTTCGAAACAGTGTTCTGATTTCAATGGACTGTGTATGCATAACTATATATATATACATAAAGTGAACAACAAATTCCGTTTGTCGCGTGTAATATCCATTTATATATCCATTTGTAATATCCATTTATATATCCATTTGTAATATCCATTTACAGTAAAACAGCCGTGCCATACCAAATACGGCAGGTTACATCTCCCCCTATCGGCGAAATTCAGAACTTTGCGATTCTACCTCAGACACTATAAAGAATTAAAAAATATAAGGATAAAATGTTACACAACCTTACAGAACATTGTTGATTTAATATGAAGAGATGTAATGTTTATGTGGATATGATGCACAGTCGCATATACGGCCTAAAATGTCAGAAACCTATTCGTGACACTTTGTTGCAACATTTGAAGAATAAAGATGAGAAGATGGGTTCGAAAACACAATTAATGAATAAATAATGCGTATTATATCAATACAGATTAAAAGCAGACAATAGAGCAAAGCAAGAATTACATTAACTTATAAGAACCTTGCTTACAAGTTTTGGTTATGTGATGGAGGTGAAAGAAGGTACGAAGAATGTTCTTGGTACTTTTCAAGTAATTCAACCCGATTTATTATGAAAGTAAATGAAAAAGCTGTCCATGACCAAACAGGTGAAACTAACCAGTCATTTATAATTTCAGCCTTTACTATACCTTCCAATTTCCGTTTTCACTCCGGAATGCAAACTAATTGGATAGTATTTAAACTGAGATTTTTTGATTGTAAGATAAAGTGTGTTTTTACTTTTCGCAGGAAACTTACGTTAGTTCCTGCTAGCTCTTTTAAGTTTGTAATCATTTGGCTTTGCTTTGACGGTTACTTTAGTTGCATACCGCGAGTTGTGATTGATTTTGTTTGCACAAGAACGCACACTGATGCTCTAAGTTCTATGTAAATAAAAAGGTTTTTCCAAGTCTCTGTATTTACTTCACACGTAGCGATAATTCGCTTTGCGTCTGCTAAAGTTTTTGAGCTGTTTAACTTTTCCAGATCAAGAAAAATCCTATTAACTTTTCCATCTGGTGTATGCTCAGCATGCATCATATGCTTAATGATTACTGTGCCTCTAGCTGCACGATCATTGTCAAAAATTAAAGTTAACAAGAGAAAATCTATTATCGAAGTATTATGGAACAGGAAAGCACTGCCAGTTTTGGTCTTAATTAAGAATAATCTAGACCAAAAAATTAAATTTGATAAAATAATTAAGCAATTTTATGACTTCAGCTGGCTCTAAACATATTAAAAAGTAGATCTTTGTTCAAAACCTAAAAAAAAAAAAAATGTGCACGTCTCGATAAATGAGACTGTTTTTTTTTTTTCCTTGTTGGAAAACTCCTCCTCAGAGATGGCGTATTCAAAGGCAAAGCGCACTCCATCATCGTTTCCATAAGTAATCACCATAAACAGACGAATTCCATGGCCAAATAGACAAATTCCATGTGATATGTTACGTAAGACGTTACGTTCGAACAATGGCTAGCTCAGAAGGGATTCGTAAGTCATCTACCCGATGAATTAACAGCTATCTTGTCATAAATGGAGTGCTTCATTTAAACTTAAGCAAAAAGCTTTATTTACACATAAAGACAAGTTAAAAGAATATAAAATATTTATCTAGCTACAATATCTATCTAGCCACATCATGCAAACATCGTTCTTAGCTAACTAAACCGGAACTGTTCGTTTTCCTCTGGCGTCCCATGACGTCAGTCTCTATCTGGCTTTTGATTTGCTGGCGTAGTGATGCCATTCCCAACATCCTCCCCCCTTTGAGTTGCTGGATAGCTACTCAAAACATTCAAGTCTATCAAGTTCAGTCTTAAGTGGCATCTTAACAGTTCTACCAGCTCGTGTCTTTATAGTCTTAGAACTGTCACATACATCGGAAACATCAGTGGGGTCCGGAGATCGGGGTGACCCAGAAATTTCTGAATGATGAGAGGTACTCATGTCGTCTCCACGATGAGAATCTGAAGACTTTACAGCAGATTGATGTTTTTGAGGATCACTTGGATGACATGAACCTGACAAATCATCATCTTGGATTTCTAGGGGAAACACTCGTTGTATCGGACGTACTAAATTGTTAGTTTGCGTTCTTAATCTAACTGTTCTCACTTTACCGTCCTTTTCCTGGAATCAGTTCCGTAACCCTGGCTAAAGGCCAATTCAATCTCTTTTTGATATCATCTCCTATCAACACAACGTCATTCACTCGAATATTTGGAAAGTGTGGAATTTTGCTGTCGTTTCTGAATAAGTAGTCCTAAATATTCCTTTCGAAAACGTACTCGGAGATCTTCCATTAATTTTGCACGAAATCTGATTCTTTTCCTGAGATGATTGGTGTCTACTGTGTCTATATCAGTTACATCTAAATTGGATCTATCGGTCAGAAAACATGGCAGGTGTAAGTGGAACTAAGTCTTCTGTATCTTCGGATAAATATGTCAGGGGTCGCGAATTTACTACCCTTTCACATTCGCACATAACTGTTTCCAGTTCTTCATAGGTAAGAACAGCTCTGCCCAATGTTCTCCTAAGGAGTTCTTTGACTACTCGAACAAGTCTTTCCCACCATCCGCCCCACCAGGCAGCAGTGGGGGGAATGAATTTCCATTCGATCTTCTGTATTTCTGTTTGTCGAGTTATTTTACTCCAATCAATTTCTAAAAAATTATTATAAGCTCCCCTAAAGTTTGTACCGTTGTCTGTATAAACCACTCTAGGTCTTCCTCTTCTAGCAACAAAACGTCTAAATGATAACAGAAAAGCATCAGTAGAAAGCGATGTTATTAACTCTAAATGAATTGCTCTATAAAGAGCACACGTGTAGAGAACCATCCATACTTTGTCCCCACGTTTTACAAATAGGGGACCAGCCAAGTCAATACCAACTACTTCGAAAGCTGCAGCATTTTCCACTCTATCAGCAGGTAAGGAAACTGGTTCAGTGATGAGAGATTTAGTTTTGTATCGTCGACATTTAATACAGTCCTTCAGAACACTACGTATCGCTCTTCTTCCTCTTGTAATCCAGTACTTTTCACGCAATATGCTTAGTAATATCTGGGTTCCAGCATGACAGTTTTCTCGGTGAAAATATTCAATCAGTCTTTGAGTAAAGATACATTTATCAGGAAGAAGAATAGGTGAAATGAAGAAAGGCTTATCTATGCGTTCAGTAATTCGAGTTTTAACTCTGATAATTCCGTTCACATCTTTGAAAACACACAAGTTCCGAAAAGAGGTTTCATTAGGAAAAAATTGAGCTTGCACATTACGAATAAGCAGAATTTCAGCATTTTCAATCTCCTGCGTTAGAAGTTCTCCCCCCCCGTCTAGTATCATGACGCGATCTTACATTACTGATAAATCTCAATATCCATGCAACCATTCTAACTATTGAATGGAAATTTGAGAATTTAATGGCATACCACGGGACTCTCTCTTCTGACAAATTAATATTACATAACCTAACCTTTCTCCTTTCAAGTGTTATTTCGGGTGTTTCCGTTATCAATATTTCGGTGTCAGGCCAGTTGTCTCTTGCTTTGCAACAACCATGCCGGGCCTTTCCACCAGCAGGATTCTAACAATTTCTTAGGGGAACACCCTCGCGAAATCAGATCAGCGGGATTCATTTTCCCTGGCACATGTCGCCATTCATTATTAGGAAACAGATTATTTATTTCTTTTACTCTGTTCGAGACAAAAACTGTCCAATCACCACGTTCTTTTAACCAGTATAAAGCTACCCTAGAGTCGCTCCAAAATATTGTTTTAATCTCATGGGCATTTAAAGCCTGCTTCACTGAATATGCCAACCTGGCACCAATGCAGCAAGCCATTAACTCTAACCTAGGGATCGTTACTTTCTTCAAAGGTGCAACTCTGGTTTTTGCTCTAACAAAGTAAATTTTTACCCCTTGAGAGGTTCTCGTTCTAAAAAAAATACAGGTGGCATATGCCTCTTTGCACGCATCTACGAAAACATGCATTTCAGTGGAATCATTTATTTCAACATAACGTGAGATTTCGATATCTTTAATGCATCTATTTCTCTAAACCATCTTTTAAAAGACATTTGAATACTATCTGGTAAGGGAGTATCCCACTTTAGATTTAAATTCCACGTTTCCTGCAGTAAAAAGCTTAGGTGGTAAGATTGCAGGACTCAACAGACCTATTGGATCAAAATATTTCTGAACTGTAGCTAAAATGATTCTCTTAGTAAAATTCTGATCTTCACTTACAAGATTAAAGTTTAAATTACACTTAAGAGTGTCCTTATCAAGATCCCACAAAATTCCCAATACTTTCGTGACACCAGTACTATTAGAAAACATACTTACATTTTACATTACTCTCCCAGTTTCTTAAATTAAAGCAACCCCGTGTGACAAAATATCTTTTGCATTTACAATAAAATCTTTCCTGCTCCTCAATATTTGCAACACCAGAAACACAATTATCTACGTAAAAAGAATGTTTCAGTTTTTGTGCTATAGCATCAAATTCAGATGGTACATTATCTAATAAATGTGTAATTGAGGCTGCTAATAAAAATGGACTCGACTTTAACCCAAATACTACTCTGCGATGTCGGTAAACAATCTGTTCACTCTCGGACGGATAAAAAAACCGCAAGAAATCTCTATGTTGAGGGGCTATACTTAGCATCAGAAATGCTTTCTCAATATCTGAAGATAATCCTATTGGATGAATTCGAAACCTATCAAGTATCTCTGGAATTATTTCTAGTAAGTTCGGACCCTTATACAAAAGGTCATTCAAAGAGCATTTACCACTTTCTCGGGCTGACGCGTCAAAGACAGGTCTGATTTTTGTAGTGGTACTGTCCTTAATTACTGGCCGATGAGGTAAAAAAATGTCCCGTCTCAGCATTATCAGTTACCTTTTCAATTATATTCAATTTCTTCCCATTCCCGGAAAAATCGTAGTATATTCTTCTAAAAATGCTTTATCTTGTGCTCGCTGGCACATCCTTTTATGCCGCTTCCAAGTTAAATCTTTATTTGTCGGCAAATCGGCCACATCAGATTTAAAAGGTAAACAAAGTTCATATCTACCGTCTGAAAGAATTTTCACATTATTTTTAAACTCTTCCAAAACTCTAGAATGTTCTAAATTCTTTCTATTATTTTCAATGGGATCTGAAATACCTATGGATTCTAAAGACCATAAATCTTTTATCGAATAATTACTAACATACAACGAAATTGCATTCAAAACAGTATCATCATTGCTATCTCCAAATGACTCATGCTTCCCAGTTAACACATGTCCCAAACAAGTGTCAATCAAAAATAACCCTGACTCCAACCGAACAGATTTATTAGTAAATAAAGCGCCCACAATATCCGCTCCCAAAAGCAGATCAATCTCACGATCAGAAGAACCCAAATCAGACAAACTGACGCCTCTATCTTTCAGTTCATTAATAATTTTACTATCGTTCACTTTTGGCACTGTGCCACAAATTTTGCTCTCGGAAAGTGCTTCGATTTGAAAGGAAAAAGTTTCATCTAATGCCGAAATCAACAAATTATAAACATCGTGAATCTGCGTTCGCGTTTCTCTTCCACCGAATAACGAATGCTTCAATTTAATTTGCCTTAATGGTTTTAAATTTAAATTCTCTACTAATTTTTTACTGACAAACGAATGCTGAGAACCTGTATCCAGTAATGTGCGTACTTTAAGCTCAACATTTTTAAATTTAATTTTAACTATTAGAGTCATTAAATAGACATTTTCTGTTTTACAGTTATTAGTTAATGTACTGGTTTCAGTTACGTCAATTTTAGACTTTTCATTTGCGCCTTTTTCTTGGCGATTGGGACATATTAAAGAATGGTGATTTTTATTACAGTACATGCAAGAATTTTTTACTCGACATGTTTTAAAAGTGTGTCCAAATCTGAAACATCCAAAACAGGCCCCTCTTTTAATTAATATATTTTTCTTAGCTTCTAATGTCATATTTCTAGCAGAAAAAACATTCTTTAGTTGGGTGCCGTTTTTCACAAAAGAGACAGTTAAAATTGCGCTTGCTTACCTGGGCTCTCAGAATTTGATGTACTTACTAACGCAGCTGCGGTGGCGAAATCTAAATTTTTATTTAGTGTATCCTTTTTCTTAGAAATATGATTAGAACCAAACCCAGTGCGGGCTAACACGACCATTTCTTCTCCTTTCACTTCTTGTTTCAGAAAATTCATCAAATTTTCAAGGCATCGGTCATCAGGCTGAGGTGCTTCTTTAAATTTCTGTTTCTGTCCCAAGCAATTAATACTTCTTCGGGCAGGCAGGATTCAATTAAAGGCATTAAGAAATCACCATACTTCTCTTGCGTTCTTCCAAGACTTTCTAAAGCTCTAATCTTGGTTCCTAAATCATCGTAGAGAGTGGGAACATCCGTCTTCACACGTCCACTGCTTGCATTACGCATAACCATGTTTAGAAAATCTCTGACGTATATGACTGTACAAGTAAGTCTTCTCTTCCAAACCTCTCTCGAAGCTGGGCGATTGCTTTCGGATAATTCGACGGCCGTTGCCGGAAAGCTCTCCACTACCCGTGCGGCTTTGGACTGAGGAACAACTGCTTGCAGGAGGTACTGGAATTTATCTTCATCTGGAATCGTCGGATCTTCATGGATCTTCGAAAACTGGCTCCAAAACGTCAAAAATTCTTTTGCTTCGCCGTTGAATTTCTTTAGTTCGATCTTCGGCAGTTTAAATTTCCGCTTCTCTGGTAATTCAGTAGCTAAAGGATTCTTCGACAGCTTTTCGATTTGAGAACACAGTTCAAAATATTTATCTCTATAAGGCTCAGACGAAATAAAATCTTCTTCATATAGCTTTTCAGCTTCTTTAGATTGTAGAATTAGCGACGTTCGTTACTTCCTTTTGGCAAATTTCAAGTCGATTAAACTTGTCTCTAAGCTGTTGTTCCAGAATCGAAAGTAGCTTCAAATCAGGAATATCTGATTTCAGTTCTGCATCAATTTTGTTTGCACATGTGGTAAAGGAAGTTCTTAGACATTTCTTTTCGGTTTTCAGCTGTGTAAGCTCCATTTTCAATTTATTTTAGCTGTTATCGCGCCCCACGTCTTGGCGCCACAATGATATGTTACGTAAGACGTTACGTTCGAACAATGGCTAGCTCAGAAGGGATTCGTAAGTCATCTACCCGATGAATTAACAGCTATCTTGTCATAAATGGAGTACTTCATTTAAACTTAAGCAAAAAGCTTTATTTACACATAAAGACAAGTTAAAAGAATATAAAATATTTATCTAGCTACAATATCTATCTAGCCACATCATGCAAACATCGTTCTTAGCTAACTAAACCGGAACTGTTCGTTTTCCTCTGGCGTCCCATGACGTCAGTCTCTATCTGGCTTTTGATTCGCTGGCGTAGTGATGCCATTCCCAACACCATGATTGATCACTACAGATAGACAAATGAAATCACTAATTCCATCACTGATCACCGCCAAATATTTTATCGTGTATAAAATATTTTTTATCTTTTTTCTTTACAACTATTAACATTTAACCCTGTATCTATAGAAAAGTATAAATTGAAGGGTGGTGTGGGTCAATGCCACAACTGTCAGGATTTCTTTCATTCGTCGGACGAGTGTAAATTCGAGCCGATTTGTGTAAAATGTTCACTTTCTCATAAAAGTTCTGAGTGTCAAGCTGAGTGAATTTCTCAGCTAGTTTATTGAAACTGTAGTGGAAGTTACACAGCCAGCTATTCTAAGTGCCCGAAAAATCCTAAAAATATACAAAGAAAAAATTCGGAAAATCCTGTAGCCTCTACTAAAAGCAATTCCAAAGCACGTGGTTACCAACCAGACTCCGCCATGTAAGAAAATGCAGAAACTCACGAGGTTCCTTCTCGGTCGAATGATAAAACCTAAAGTGGGCAACAGTAAAACTCTTCCTGACAAAACACCTAGGAGTAATATGTCTGAGAGGCCTAATATCTCAAGGAAGAAAAAAAACCAAACAACTCGGATAGTATTTCTGCTACTCTTATCTTTAATGTTTTTAATGAAGTCGAAAAAATCTTTGCTGAATATTCAATACTTGAAGTTATTAAAATTATAACCGGAAGGTTAGGAGAAATTAGGGAAGCATCTACACCTATCAATAAGATATTTGTAGTTTTTAATATTCTTAAATAGTTTTAACTGTGGTAATAATTTTAAATGTACTTAGTTTCTCTGCATTTGTAATTTCGATGCCTTTGTATATCTGGTACTTTGTTGACTGTGATGGTAGTTAGTTTATAAAATTTTGTGACTATGTTGGTTATTATTTTCTTAAATTTTTGCTTTTCTAAGGAGTGATATATTTTTAAAATTGTTATTTAGCCTTTTAGAACTGCACTGATCCTTCTAAGTTGTATTTTAGTGTTCTTGCTTTTCAATCACCAGTTCGACTGGCTTTGCATTTATACTCTTCTGATCATCTATGATTTATTTTCTTCAACTTTTTGTTTTAGTAGAACTTTATATATTTCATGATGATATGCTAGCAAGTACTAAATTTTTCAAAGGAGGTAGCTTTATACCCAAGTACTCTGGTGTTGCACCATTCTACTAAGGAAGATGATGATTAACCCTTGTCCCATTCGTGCCATCCTAGTACCCCACTTTTATGTTACAGAAAACTTATGCATAGTTTGGTACTTTCAAATTTTACAAATTTTCTTTGAACCTAATAGATAACAGCCAGAGCATGCAAAGTTTTGTTAAATTATTATAATATGTACGCAACAGATTTACAGGGCATTTTCAAATCTCACATTGCGGTGGCCAAAACCAAGGTCAACTTATATTCAAAGTTGGCCTTGCCTAAAGAGATGGTCTGTATTAAAATGAAATATCGGCTGAAATATGAAAAGAATAAAAAAAAATCTGAAAGCTTTCAGATTTTACATTACGCCCAAAGAGGCGTTTTTAACATTCTTTGCGTTACCTTTATTTATTAAATATTATGTTCTTCGCACTTAAATCATAAAATTCAATTCAACTGCAATATTGCAAAATAGTTTTAGAATGAGCATATCTTTAGAATTTCCGATAGACAATCTCCCGCACTGGAGATAAAAATGTTTCTTTTTTCGTAGTGTTACCATCGCTCGCTTTGAAATCGTTGAGCCTGTTAATCAAAAATTCGTTAAAGTATTACAAAATATGAAATCGATAATAGAAAAAATTCCAAATTAGGGCTTCCAATTGCCCATATGCGGTGGAGGATTACGTTATTCAAAACTGGATGGCTCTAGGTACCGTTGTTTTATCACAATGCCAGAAACAAACATACATTTATGCAGATTCTTCATTATTTAATTTCTTTAAATATAACACAGGGTGATAATATTTGGTGGCAACAATTTGAAAAGCGAAACGGACATTTAAACTTTTCGATGCAAAATGAAAACGAAATTAATAGCCTTTCCGGGCTAACACACCCTTTGGGCTAATAATTTCGGGGCCTTAGTCTGAACATCGTCGAGATGGAAGAACCGGTTTTCTTTCTTTTTTTTTTTTTTTTTTTCGATCTACTCGACAAAGAGTGAGTCTCATACCATCGTCTCGATCATTAGAGAGATCGACGCTTCGGAAATTTTTCCGTCAGCGGTGTAGCTGCCGTTTAACTTTCTGTTCTGATTGTCCTCTTAGAGCTAAACCGAAGACGGCGGAGGTCACGAATAGTTTTTGGAAGTGTACGGAATATATATTTTAATTTTTTGCTAAAACCTCGAGTGTTTCGCAATAGAAATAACGCATTTGATGCTGACGATTCTACTTTTATTGGATTATTTCGACTATAGCATGGACCCTTATCAATAAATTAAAG